GTTTGAAATGTCGCGAATTGTGAGAAGTAGAGCTTTCTCATTTTCGACGTCGACGCGCGCCGGAAAATCGCCTTCGTCATACAGTGTTTACATTAGAAAATACCTAAATATAATTGAACCTAAAATGAAACTTTCGATTTCTTTTGAAAGCATAAGCACTGCATAATTACGTCAAGTAGTTGGTTGGAAGACAAATATTTTCATATTATTTTTATCGTGTCCAATCGATATGTATAATGAAATAAGGGCGCCTGCCTGACGAAGGATAATTAACAATTATTCCACGAGCGCACGTTGGATATGAGATGATAGGCTATAATCACCTCATATCCAACAAGCGCGATGATAGGCTATAATCACCTCATATCCAACAAGCGCGATGATAGGCTATAATCACCTCAAATCCAACAAGCGCGAGTGGAATAATTGTTTTATTAAAAACGCCTCCAAGAAATTATTATTTTGTAAGAAAAAAACCGGATTTCTTAGCGCCCTTTTGATTTTAAGCTGACGCGTACGCTTACCATATTTGTAGATTATGGTATATTGGCTCATATACCATAATGGCTGAGCCAATCAAAAGTCTTGAATTGCATTATCCAATGACCCAGTTTTTAATAATTTGTCTTAGTCGCAAACGTGTTTGTCTTGATAATTTGCTAGCGATGTATTAAATGCATGTCCTGTAGTTTTTTCTCCGCTGAAGAATGTAACTGTTGGGGTAAAGAAAATCTACTCGATGGACTTATAACAGACTTAGGAAAGACAAGATATATTTGTACACCGCTTAATAAAGCGCATGATGTTGAAAATCGGCTTTGGTCAAGGGTGGCGACTGAAAATTTACCACACACGGTGTACCACCATTACGAGCTTCAATTTATTTGCTTAAAATAAAATGGTTTGAAAAAACTCGTAGAATAAATAAGTGAGAGCTGTGTTGAATATGGAAAAGTCATTTTTGCCGGCTAACTTTTCTTTAATATTTCACTTTCCGGTAGTTTAAACACCTTTTCCTTTTAAATTTTAGTATGTATTTTGACATTCAACAACAAGACAGTTCACCTCATTTCAACTATTGGGAGTATTAGAAATTGTTTTCACAAAAGGTCAAACTAGTCAACAAGGTCGAAGTGCTGAACTAAGTTTGACTATTGCTACGTCACAATGACGTAATATCCAAGATGGCGTTTTTCTAACCACGAAAGTTGTAAAAATGGGCAACTTCGAAGCGCTCTTGTCGCTAATAAAAGCAAACTAGACAAAATGGCAGTTATTTTCGAACTCCTGAGGAAAAAGTCTGACAATTGAGATATTAAACTTTATCTAGACCGTACTTTCCCTTTAAGAGAAATAAGCCAGGTATAATCATTTAAGATGGAAACTGTGAAAGGTGTTAAATTTAGCTGTCGAGAGTTTATGGTATTTCTTTAGAAAACGGGGCTGCTGATGGAAATCCATTGCTTGTACGCTCAGATACTAAGATGCATGTGTAGAAAAACGCTAGGCGAACGCCGATCTCGCTTGACAACGCGAAGGAGAAAAGACTTTCAGTGGACGCTCCATACTGATATAACTTGTAAAAATGGACCTCCCTATCGTACCTGTAGGAGGCTCCTCAAAAGGATTGCCACCATAAGACAGGGCAGAGGCTGCGGCTGATGCAGCTCTGATATCGTCCAGAAAAGGATTGGTTGCATCCTCAGATCCGAATGAGAACTGATCGCTTTCATCGAAAGGATTTGTGCTATGTCCCAGATCCTGCTCGAAAGAGTTCAATTCGCTTGCGGATATGGAAGATACAGCTGGTAAAGATTTCATTTGAGGTGTTGGTAGCTTTTGTGATTTTTTCCGCCGCTCAGATTCTTTCGCTTTCTCTGCAGCTTTGGTTGTTTGTATTTCCACAAATTTCTGTCTGGCCTTTTGTCTCGCTTGTTTCTTAGATGCCTCTCTCGCTTGAGCTCTTTCTGTGGCTTTGACTTTCATTTCCTCCGTCTCTGTGGTTTGAGCGTTCGGGTTCGCTCCGCTTTAGAAACAAAAAAAATTGAAAATGTTTCATGGTTGCAGTTTAAACAGGGCTAATCACTATTCGCGATATCCGATTCACATGAAATATGAAAAGACCAGAAGTGCATCGCGTTCTTAGGTTCAGGGCTTGACAACGGTAGCCAACTAGCCACAGACTAGTAGAAATTCAGTTTTGGCTACTGGTTTTCGGTTTCCACTAGCCAGTTTGGCTAGTAAACGAATTGACATTGTAGTAGCATCTAAGATGTCACCAGCTACTTAGCTAGTAAGTTGAAAAGTTAGTGTCGAGTCCTGAGGTTTCTGGTTTAAAAAGACTGTAACATGATTACCAGACATACTGGGATTATCAGAATAACAGACTGTTATTCATGCCCCTGACAGCTCAGAGCTAAAAGTAGTTCCAAAGGTTTTTCCCAATTTCCCACTTTATGGAACTTGTTGGTGATATTAGTATCTACTAAGTCCCATATAAAGGGATCCATAAGACATCCTCTGACTGATAAAAACACGATACTTGAGCAAAACTGCGGTTAACTGGTAAACGCTGCAAACCGCCAGAAAAAAACAAATAGATAGGAATGAATTGTTGTTTCTGATGTTAAAAAAGTCCAACCAGCACAAAACGCGTGAGGACCCTTGACTTGCTGGTAAGCACAGTTGACGGAAAAAAGTGGTCGGTTTCAAGACTGGAAAAATGATGCCAACGGCTTTACGTTCAAGTTTGAAGTAATTCAAACGTAAATGTGTAGCGCTAAACGAAAAAAAAAAAAAACCCTAGGAAGCAGTCACCAAAATTAATTTTTTCAAGAAATCCTTAGTGCAACGATAAATGACTTGTCTTATCTTACTTATTAAGAAGTTCAGAGACGAGTTTGGCCAGGCCCTTCCTAGCCGCCACGTGAAGAGGCATCTCGCCATGTTTGTTCGTGTGGTTTGCTTGAGCTCCATGTGACGCTAAAAACAGGCCAGCCTCTTCAAGGCCAGAAGCAGCCGCCATATGGAGCAAAGAATCGCCTTAAAAACAAAAAAGATAAAAACAACCCAATGAGCATGAGGAAAAGTACTCCTGAAGACTTTCAGACAACGAAGGTTAAGATATCCAAGGTACATTAACAGGTATACCCTTCAACAGTAAGGAGACAAAAAAAAAGAAAAACACAGGCGAGCCAGGGTGAGAAAGAGGAAGGGGAACAAAGTTATTCGTAGGGATGAGCACTTTGTTGATAACGATCGCAAAAAGAGGGCCGCATTCAACCTTAAATATTCACAGAAAAAAAATTTTCCTTGGAAATCGCAGTTGTGTCTGGTTTGTGCTTGAACCTACGGACTTAAAGACATGAACAATTTGTTAAATGTGGCATTCTGCAGGTCTGGCTTGTTTGCATACAAAAACTATCCATTGCCACGGCAAACAAACCTGGATTGGCGGAAATTGTGCCACAAACAAATAGTTCCAGAAATCAACACTTGGGCCTACAAGCTCAGCAATAGTTAGGTTGATTCCTTCAGTTACTTGTAAAAAAAAAAAAAAAACAACCAAAACAGTCACGTTGTACGACCCAAATATCGACAAATAAGTTACATTTTAGTTAGTCCTGTGTATCATAAAATCCAACTTGCCGTAAAGCTAAGTTTCCGGTAATGGAGAGCGAAATGCGTTATTTCTAACTCTGCAAAATGTTCCCGGTGAAACCTTCCTGTAACAAGAAGACATCTCACCTGTAATATTGTTGATGGCATCTGCACTCGCTCCATGTTTTACCAGCTTAGCCGCTAAACTATCTTCGTCCATTGGATCAACTTTCGTGTCACGTGATAATGCCAGCCACAATGGGACTCGCCCTTCATTGTCACGTAACTCCAGATTGAGTCTACCAATCAGAACAAACAAAGAAACGGCAATAAACCAGTGGAAATGTTTTGGCAAAACACGTTAAATGCAGGAATATGTTTCAACTGAGTGTGGATTTGCATTTGAGAGAATGAGTTGCAAAATGAGTACTACATGTACTTCTTTCCTTCACGGCGTATCAGATCCTCTGAAAAATTTGTACATTGAAAAGCTCTATTTCATAATGGGTTATAAGAGCGCACAACATAACACTCAAGAAGAAATGACATTAAGATCTACATACTTGACCTTTTGTAGCAGAACAGAAAGGACAGCATCATTGTCAGCCTGTATAGCTCTGTGTAATGAAGTCCTGAAAAGTAAATACACCTAATGATAAGTCAATGATATACAAACCAAATACCAGTGATGGACAAAAACCAAAATGGAAACTTGGTGTCACAAAAAATCTACAAACCAATATCTCCCTAAACCATACCTCTCAGAAGATATTTTCAAATGAAGCCAGGCCAAATACACTACAAGTTTGTCTAGAGAGCTTTGTATTAGATTTTTATAACCTTGTTTTGTACACGTTTGCTTACAACAAGAACATTCTTGTAGCAAATGATTTTCCAAAAAAAAGAAAAGGTTTTTTTGCCAACCTCCCTGCACTGTCCTGAGCATCAACATTAGCAGAATTCTCCAAAAGCAAGGATGCAATTCTTGCCATTCCTTGTGCTGATGTCATTGATGGTGAATTGTTAGCTCCTACAGAGGCTGATGAAGCAGAAGAAGCTGACCAGGGTCTGAAGTACATACACAAAAAGTACAATGTAAACACAACAGCCTTGTTCTACCAAAGATAAAAGTGAGATTGTTCCCTTACTTGTAAGAAGCAGTCAGATGTAGTGGGGTCACGTGTTCACTGTGTGTTGCAGCACTGACTCTTGCTCCATTCTTGATCAAAAAGGTGGCTGAAAATTCATCACCTTGGTTAATAACCTTGTGTAACAAACACTTGCCATCAATATCTGCCATGTTCACATCACAGCCGTGACCAACCAGTGTCCTAGCAATGCTTTCCTGTTTCTCTGAGAGTGCAATGTGAAGAGGAACTTGACTACTAGAAGGTTCTAGCTCATTCAGTTTACCAGGTAACTACAAAATAAACACAACATTGAGTGTACAAGGCATCATGTTAACATAAACAAATAAATTCTAGAAGATGCAAGAGACTTGGAGTTAGTGCAACACATTCCATGTCAAGAGGACATCAGAGAAACCTTAACAAGGTTCTGTCTCCAATGCATTCTTGGGCATGTCAACAAACTCTCTTGGTACCTCTCAGGAGGGTGTAATGGGTACCAGCATAATGAGAGGGAAAACTGTAGAAAGCCTGCTAGGGAAAACCCTGGTATCTATTAGGGCTTGCAACATATAAGACCCCAACCTGGAAAAAAACCTAAATTCAGGGACTGCCAAGTTCCTGTGAGCTGGCCATGAGGGAGTCACAAAGGTGAAAATACTTGAGCTGCCTCCTAACCATCTGCAAGAATTTTGAGAAAATTGTTGTAATGTGAGTTTTCATGGGTTTTATGGTCCATCTTCAGGCCTAAAAAATCTCTTACCTGCCCTGAACTGCTAATTTTTTTCTAAAATACTGTTTACCTGAGAATTAAATTCAATCAGGAACAGAAAGACAACATCTTCTCTGTGATGTCTAACTGCCAGGTGAAGAGGGAAGCCAGACTTTGACTTGAACATTTCATACAATAAGGGAGCACTCATACTGCTAAAATCTTCGGTTTTTAGGTCATGCTGAAATAATGAATATAAATTTGAGCAATGTTAATAAATTCACTTACTCTCCAGACAGTGTTTAAGACATTGCAAATAATAACATAACCAACCCAGTGATTGGAGATAATTTCTGCACAATACTTCTGCAACTCTTTGGCACCAATATCTTCAGCAGTCTGGTAAAACTTTATACAGTTGGAAACAGACACTGAAGACATTAACATTTTCTCACACCTGACAAAGAGACCAAACAGGAAAATGTTTGTATTATAAATTAATTTAAACACAATGTTCCTAGCTTTCAAGCAACTAAGAAATATCATTTAAATATTGCTGCACTAAGACAAGCCACACTTGATCTTCACTTGATGTAGGAAGCGAGCATCAGGAAAAACGATTGTACTTCTTTTGAGAAAGAGAGAGTACATGTAAGTAATGATGTGGCAAGGTCTTCTTGATTCACTAACAGCTTTCTTCATAAAATGCAATACCACTTCAATTTGAAACTAAACACTCATGCCAGAGACTCAATATAATACGGAGAAAACTGTTATTAAAAGAAAACTAAATCATGCCCCAACTGAGATAATATTTAAAAAATCCCTTCTTTTATCCTCCAACCCAAACATTACAAACGCCTCTCATGAGTGCAACTATTACTGGTGCCAAGGGTTTTTCCTCGTATATCTCAATGTAAATGAAACTTTTGAAATGACTACCAAACTGTTAACCTTGGTTTCAGGAAGGTATCAAATCATTCATTTTTCCCTCTTCCAGTACCTTTCCTTTAACTCCTTAAGTCTGTACTTTTTTGCAGCTTTAACCAGCTCAATGAGAAATGCTTCATCATGGGGGATTTCTGCCCTATCAGTGTACACCCATTTCATTAATGTCAAACCAACTGCTGAACTGACATCTGAAATTACAATCAATCAACAAAATGGTGAATACATTTCCTTTGCCAGAATTTCTAATCAAATAAATTCTTCTTTTTTCAATTCTTCAGTAACTGAAAGGAAGGTCACTCAAGGACTCTTCTACAACCAAATTCGGGTCTGTTATTCTTATGTACTGGTATGCAAATTTTTTATCTTCTTGCAACATAGCCATGTTTAAAATATTTACCATAAGTACTTGGAAATTGCTTCAACACATGTACAGTGCCAAAACCAGACCAGCTCATATTCTCGGGGATATCAGAACATGAAGTAGATTGCTAGTAATTTTGTTTAAAATGAATTCAAGAAATAGTTCTGGAAGATGATAATTAACCAACTGGATTTTGTGTCAGACTGGCCATATGTATTTTTTCTGCATTGGGTGAAATACTATTGAGCATTTTCAGAGCATCAGTAGGTATCAGTTAACTGCGTCAGCTTGATACAAATGCTGGGCACTGAACTGTTATGAGCTAGCATTCTCGAGGAGGAAATACATAACTTCCAGTCATTTCATTTAACAAAACCAGGGAAAATGTTTCTTTGCCTCAATACACTTTGCCTTCTTGGCATATTTCAAAACATCAGCAAAAATCATTCCAATAAAATAGTTTGTCCAAAGTCTATACCAAAGGATACAACTCCACATTAAAAGAAATGTCTGGTGTTTTAGAAGAAAGGACTCCAAGATATTGAAATGAGTTTTAATGGAGTAAGTTACCTGCTAATTCAAGTTCACTGATTTCATTCAGGTCTCTGTTACTCCAGTGATCCCCTCGTGCTGCCAGCACAAACTTGTGGGCCTTTATCTTCTGATCCGCAAAACACACTGTTATATCACTGTTCATAAATAGTGAAATAACCCTCATTTATAACTTGTTTATATCGTGACATCATGACTTCACTGAAACCCTACATTTAAAACCATGGTAACCCTGGATGGTGGAAAAGGTTGGAGATAGTGCAGTTTATTGGTGTATTTATTGCAAATGTTGCATTCTAAGTTTAACCAAAAGAATGTTAATAAAATCCTGCACTCAGACAACAGGATTCCAATGGGGACAGGAAACATATAAGCACACAAAACTTCTCTCTTTGCATTCAGTAGATCAATAAGAATGAGCACATTGTTACAAAAGTAAACAAAAGTACAAAGTATGTCATAAAAATTTATAGTGGTAGCTCTTCTCATAGGGCATGCAAAGCTTATTCTTTTGGAGCCAATTAACACCTGTTTTGGTTGAATAGGAGAAATCACCATTCCCACCTGGCCATACCTGTACAAGTCTTTATCAAATAGTTCTGCAACAGTTTTCAACAGCCTGCTAACAAAGGTGTTCTCATGTTCTCCACTCTGTCCTGATGTGGCTATTGCTACACTATACTTCTGCTCCAGCTCAATATGTTTGTTTTGAAGCTTTACATACTCTTGACGTAACAGGCTCAGGTGTCGTTCCAGCTTGGCAACCTGACCTATACTCAAATTAAGACACAGAAGAAATGATCAGATTTTAAGGAGTTAAAGGAAGAAGGCAAAAAATGCTGTGGAAAGGAGGGGGAAGAACCATACAAGTTCACAGTTAGGAGAAATGAACAGTCAGCTCAAAACTGTTTTCTCCAACCATACTTGCCTAAGCTTTCTTGGATTGTTGTATTTACCATTATGATTATACATTCACAAACCAAAAGTGGGGAGGTCGCTCTTTCATTATTCAACATCAGTTTTAATAGTTTGCAGCAGAAATGAGTGCTTAATTAAATTACTTAGTATTAGGCTGACCAGAAGGCCCTTTTTCACCCTGGATAATTATTTTGGTTTTTTTTTTTATTTACTGTAACGCAATTGAAAATAGAAGTTGAAAGAGAACACAAGATCGCCACCCATTCACTGAAAAATTGAATTCTTATTGTTAAATATAGGTCTTGTTGCAAATACAGTGCACAATCACTAGTTCTGATTAACATAACACGTCCGAGTTTTGATTTCTTCTCCTTTTTCGTTCCAAAACTAAAATATTTCCTTTATCTAAGACGCTGATTGAAATCTAGCCGGCACGAAGGACTGGCAATCATCGACATAGATCAGATCGTTGCAAACGAACCATGCCAAAGTACATTGAATGACATAGCATTGTGTTCTCCAGTGTTGTGGTTATTCAGTCCTTAAAATTATGAGAATTAGAATATTTCATCAAAACATATACAAATACAAATGATTAAAAAGGTAAGCAAAAGATACAGATTTAGAATAAAAAACTTAACATGGATTTCGACTCACCCTCGTCCGCCATTTTGAGCTATATTGGAACTAGACCTGTACCCCCTTGGTTTTGATGAAGATAATTACTAGTGGGGTGGGGTGAGATTGGAACTACCTGACAATATCTACCTGATAATATCTACCTGATAATATAAGAAATGCAACTGTTTTTATGTATGCAGATGATACCACCCTGTTCTGTATCGGAGACTCCGTAGACATTGTTATTGCCGAACTGAATGCTGCTCTCAAGGTACTAGAGCTATGGTGCTTAAGAAATCAACTATTGCCTCATCCCAAGAAATGCGAAGGTATGCCAATTCATCGAGGAAACTTCACCGGTCCACTACAGTCATTAATACTGATGAATCATTGTATAAGTTGGGTTAAACACACCAGGCTGCTTGGAGTCTATTTAACAATTATTCCACGAGCGCGCGTTGGATATGAGATGATAGATAGCCAACTCGGCGCTACGCGCCTCGTTGGCTAT